CACCCTGTGCCATTACACCATACACGTTACTACTTTGCACCATACACCTTACACATTACACCATAATGCAATTTAATTTCAAAGAAAGCGTGCGACTACAAAATTATTTATTTATTTTAAAAAACGAATTTTGATCACAATATTGTAAATTAAAGTCTTAAATTAAAAACCAGTTCTTTGTGTCAGTTTATGTCATTTTGTAAATTCATTTTATTTTTAACCAAAACATACATCAATTTTTGCATAGTTTTAAATGTCGTACACCATTCATTCACACCATTCCCGATCGCACGTTACACCATTACATCATTCCCCTTACACCATACACCATAGCACCATACACCTTCTACCATTGCACCATATGCCATACACCATTACACCATACACGTTTTTTTTGGGAAGTTTACACCATCCAAGGGCTGTACTGTTGTTTAATTTTTTGTCTTTTTTTATTTTTTGCAATGGCGTTGTCAGTTTATTTTTACTCATGAATTTGAATCTCCATTTTGGTATCTTTCGCCTCTCTTTTATAAAAAAAAATTGTGAAGATGAAAAAGTGGACTAGAGAGGAAATATTGGAATAAAATTGACAACTAGATCAATTTTGGTCTGTTATAGTAATTTTTTTTAAATTTAATCACATGCAGTAAAAACTGTTGTGTAAATATTGCCAAAACTATAAACATTGTGTACATAAAATGAATATAATTATATATACAAATGTATATAGGAATATGAGAAACATGAAACATAGAAAAAAAAAAATTTAGGAAATTTTGTGGTATGTTTTTCTGTTGATAAAGATATATGAATTATTTTTATGATTTTGTCCTTCAGGGAATTAAGTATAGATGGTGGTTAGTTTTCGTCAAATAAATTCCCAGCTTTTGTATCTAGCAATTAACCATGAAGGAACAAACATGTGACAATGTGTGTTTTCTAACCTTTTGAACTTTTTGTCGTTAAGATAGACTGATAACCAATTTAACTCTTAAAATGTATGCAAAAAGGTTGAATTGTGTACATTTCTTATGCCAAAGATTGTTCCCTGTTTTTGCAGAATAAAAATCAATCAACATTTTCGGGCTTTTTCTGATTTTTATATGCAAGGGACCAATCAGAAATCCCCATTATAAGTAATATCTGGTTATAACGTTCAGAGGACCAATCATAATCACCATTATTAGATACTGTCTAGTTATCGTGTTCTATAGGAACCAACCTGAAATCACCAATATTTGAAAAAGTCTGGTTATAAGTTCTAAGGATCAATCAGAAATCTCATTTATGAGACAATGTTTTGGTATTGTTCAATTGACCAATTATAAATCATTTAAAAATATCCAAATGTCTATGTTTTGTTTTGTACGTGAAAAGAAATAACCTGCTTGTTAGATTTAAGATAAGTTGGAATATTTAATATGTAGTTTAAGTTATCACGTTCTTTCAGAGCTGATCACCCTAATACCTTTTTAACCTGATTCAGGCTGTGGTAGCAAAAAATATTGTAAAAAACGGAAACGTGATGATAACGACTGGACTACAGATATGAATAAGAAGATATGGTATGAGTGTCAATGAGACAACTATCCATCCAAGTCAACAATTCAAACAGGAAAACCAACGGTCCAATCTATATAAAAAACGAGAAACAAGAGAAACACTTATGAACCACACCAACAAACGACAACCACTGAACAACAGGCGCCTGACTTAGTACAGGTGCATAAAAATGCAGCGGGTTTAAATATTTTAACAAGCGCCAACCTTTATCCTAACCTGAAACAGTGGTGTAACATTACAACATAAAACAAGCACAATACAATATCTATAGGTCAAAGTACGGACTTTGGATAGGTACATAATGTGGCGGGTTAGATATGTTTGTTAGCGCTCAACCTTCCTTCCCCATCCCCAATCTGGGACTGTCACATTTGTGTGAAAGGACGATATAAAAACGAACTGTCTAGATTAGTTCGAACAGGATTGATGCATAGATCAGTTCCAAGTACAAATTAATACAAAACAAATAAGTCAATAGGCATGAATACCATTATAAAGTGTACTCACATTGTGACTGAAATCTCGTTCAACGTCAAATTTCAACTAAGACCATAGTCTCTTTAACTAGACTACTTTTTACAAATATGTTCAACATTAACATTTGTGTGGGGTTAGATAATTTACTTTTCCTTGAATAGATAGCTATTTGAATCAACCATTGGGCATAAAGCAAACACTCAATCAATCAATGTTTAGGTCAGTTCCCTTCAGGTTAAAGAGGTAAAGCCAATGTTCCCTTTTCTATACTAAGCGCAAACAAATTAGAAAAAGTATGAGTCACCAGTATTTTTTAAGCTACAGATTTTGAATGCGCTATACTTAAACAAACTTTGTTTTATAGAAAGAAAAACTGAACGATAGAATTTTAAGATAAAATATGAGAAGACATCTCTTATAATAAGCTTTCAGAAAATAAAAAAAACGGGGTCACTGAACTCTGGTTTTTTGATTCAGCCATGCTGGATCTATGTGATCACTCTGGTTTTGGAGATGGTGCAAAATTCAATGTTGAAGACATGTCATGAAAATAATTATGTGTTTCTATGACTTGCAGAAACTTTATACACCATTTTAATCATCAACTGCCAACTTTTAATATGTTATTTGTCTTTAAATTAAGAAAAGGTTGGGCGAACAACTTCTTTATTTTAGATAAACACTTGTACTAGTATATAGTTCCTGTGTAAATCAAAATTGATATTAAATTGCCATTTATTAATTAATGTCACATGAATGTGGAAAATGTGATTTATCAAATTTTAGCCGTTGATAAGAATAATAAAAGTGTTTTATCAGTATCTTATGTTCCTGTGAGCCATTGAATAAAATTTGGTTCAAGATGTGTATTCATATCAGAGTTGATTCCCACACTTTTTTAAATGCTATTATTCCCATTCTTGCATTAGGCAAATCAAATTGTTGGTACAATACCAGTATGATGGACAGCTGCCACGATTTTCAAACAATTACACTCAAAGGTGTAAGTATTATTTGGATTAAACTCCACTCAAATGCAGTCTTAATTGACCACAGTTATATTAATATATCATGACAGTTGATAATCATACAGGTATTGAGGTCAAGAATTTGTGTATTCAATTTATCACACATCTTACTGAATACACCAAATTTTGACCTCAATAGTTGTAAAATCAGTGTCATAATCTTCTGACATAAGTTAATAATTAAGGTCTATTTAAGTTACAATTATCTCTCTTACATGTCTTACCTCAGCATTTTCTGTCACAAATTTATTTGTATATTCCCCATTATAATGCTATTTTACAATAATTGGAATAAATTCAGCATGAGGTATTTGTATATTCCCTATTATAATGCTAGTTAACAGTAATTGGAATAAATTCAGCATGAGGTATTTGTATATTCCCCATTATAATGCTATTTAACAGTAATTGGAATAAATTCAGCATGAGGTATTTGTATATTCCCCATTATAATGCTAGTTAACAGTAATTGGAATAAATTCAGCATGAGGTATTTGTATATTCCCCATTATAATGCTAGTTAACAGTAATTGGAATAAATTCAGCATGAGGTATGTGTATATTCCCCATTATAATGCTATTTAACAGTAATTGGAATAAATTCAGCATGAGGTATGTGTATATTCCCCATTATAATGCTATTTAACGATAATTGGAATAAATTCAGCATGAGGTATTTGTATATTCCCCATTATAATGCTATTTAACGATAATTGGAATAAATTCAGCATGAGGTATTTGTATATTCCCCATTATAATGCTATTTAACGATAATTGGAATAAATTCAGCATGAGGTATTTGTATATTCCCCATTATTATGCTATTTAACAATAATTGGAATAAATTCAGCATGAGGTATTTGTATATTCCCCATTATAATGCTTGTTAACAATAATTGGAATAAATTCAGCATGAGGTATTTGTATATTCCCCATTATAATGCTTGTTAACAATAATTGGAATAAATTCAGCATGAGGTATTTGTATATTCCCCATTATAATGCTACTTAACAATAATTGGAATAAATTCAGCATGAGGTATTTGTATATTCCCCATTATAATGCTAGTTAACAGTAATTGGAATAAATTCAGCATGAGGTATTTGTATATTCCCCATTATAATGCTAGTTAACAGTAATTGGAATAAATTCAGCATGAGGTATTTGTATATTCCCCATTATAATGCTAGTTAACAGTAATTGGAATAAATTCAGCATGAGGTATTTGTATATTCCCCATTATAATGCTAGTTAACAGTAATTGGAATAAATTCAGCATGAGGTATTTGTATATTCCCCATTATAATGCTAGTTAACAGTAATTGGAATAAATTCAGCATGAGGTATTTGTATATTCCCCATTATAATGCTAGTTAACAGTAATTGGAATAAATTCAGCATGAGGTATTTGTATATTCCCCATTATAATGCTAGTTAACAATAATTGGAATAAATTCAGCATGAGGTATTTGTATATTCCCCATTATAATGCTAGTTAACAGTAATTGGAATAAATTCAGCATGAGGTATTTGTATATTCCCCATTATAATGCTATTTAACAGTAATTGGAATAAATTCAGCATGAGGTATTTGTATATTCCCCATTATAATGCTAGTTAACAGTAATTGGAATAAATTCAGCATGAGGTATTTGTATATTCCCCATTATAATGCTATTTAACAGTAATTGGAATAAATTCAGCATGAGGTATTTGTACATGTGTATTTGAATACAGGAAATGTATTTTTTCCTTAATGAAGAATGAACACCTATTTAGATAAAAAGCTAATTATTTATTTTTGTTGTTGCTGAGAAAGTGCATTTTTAATGGCTCTTTTTGGAAATTATTAAGCCAATTATTATTAATGGCATATAAAAAGTATGCTACAGTCATTTGAAGATTTCCCTTAACATTCTTGTCCAAAATCATTGAATTTCAAATGTTTCTAAAAAAAGATGTAAAAAAATCTGACAGTGTCTTGAATTGAAATACCAAAATAATTTGCATTAATCTTTTGGCAATAGAATGGAAATTTTACAGTGAGATTATGGAAATGAAGATAATAAAATAATTATTGAAAGTGTGGTCAGAAAAAAATGCCAGACTAGCTACAAAATTGGCTGAATCACAACATCCATGATGCTTTGATTTTTGTGTTTTTTTCTATTAAACAAACTGGGTAAATTTAATTAACGTTTACAACATATTCCTTTTATAAAAGTTAGAATATATGAGTTCTTTCCCCTTATATGGCTAAGTTGAATTATTTTATTGTATTTCTTAAAGCAGTATAAGATTAAACACATATCTTTTTTTCATTAAGATGAAAAAACTTACAAATGAACTACATTTACATTCCACTCTTATTTGCACAATTCATTAAAAATCTATACCGATTGTTATCTACTATTTTACAATCCAAGATGGCGGAATACTCCCGATCTACCTTAAAGCGAGTGAATTTAAATTGACCACCGTAGATTTGGACTCCCACTTTAAAAACATTGAATGCTTGATCAGGGCAGACATGTTGCTTAAGAACAGGCCGCATTGGTTTTCTCCCAATACAAAGTATCAAATTAAATAAAAATTCGGAATTTCACAAGTTTTTAAAGGACAATACATAGGTCAATATCTGATAAGAAAAAATTGAATGTTTTCTTCTTTATTTTATAAAAAATAAAAATGTCCGAATGAATCATACATTTTCAGTGTTTATGTATATTTAGACATTTATGATTTTGTGACATGCTCAGAAATACAACATGCGAGTTGTTAGAATCTCAAGTTGCCCACATCAGGCTGTGATACTGTTAAATTTAGTAAAAGACTTCTTTTGAATTTGACCAGGTGATGCATAAATTAAGGAGAAATTGTCCATATCTCTTAATCGGACTGATTGGTTTTTGTTTGCTAAACGTCAAGTGGCAAATATATCATGCATATTCAGTACGAGAACAAATTAACAATGATTTTAAAAGATATGAAATTTAAAGGAGGTAGGATATATCAATTAATTAAATACAATAAAATCAAAAAGAAGAATGACAGAAAGACAACAAAACACTACACAAAAAACAAATTCAAATAATATGAATATAACCCCTACCAACATGATTTTTTTTAACATGCAGATTCCAAGGTAACGGCACGCATAAAAACAAATCCCCCTACCTGGACGCATATTTTGGTCAAGACGACCAGTCCGTGCTTTTACACCTGACTAGACAACTAAGAATGATTGCATATTAGGCTTGACTTTTATCCGGGAAGGATTCAAAACTTTCTTATTTAGCGTATCAATTATGATTTTGCAAATTGTCGGTCGCCTATCATTTTGAATCCCATGATTAAAGTTAATTGAACAGTGTTTGGTGATACTGGCTATTCCTATATTATGACAGACCAGCTTGTTCCTAACTCAGATTGGCTTATGTCTTCAGTACTTATGCGCCTACATATCGAATTTAGATAGGAATGGCATTACATTATAACTTATGGTAAATTCACCAAAATCTTTAAATTATAGAATGTTTAAAGAAAATTTTGAGTTTAAGAATGGTCTTAATAGAAACAGGTCGGTGGAATGTTGAAGTATATGTTTCTAATGCAATATTAACTATTTTGGTGTTGAAAACCATATTCTAGAATGATAAACATTTGCAATAAATAAGAAAAAGCTAACGGATGAAAATGTATTGCAAAGACCAAATATTTTGAAATGCAAAGAAATTATGAGTTGAACAGGAAAGTTTAAATAATTAAAAAAATGGTAGATTTATATGATTAATAAATAAATCAGTTGTTTTCAAGAACATAACAACACTTCCCCTTCTGGTTTATATAGTACATATATGTGAGTTTTGGTATTTACAGATAATTCTTGTTTATATTGTACATATATGTGAGCTAATGTGTTTACTGATAATTTTTGTATGTATTGTACATATATGAGATTTTTGGTGTTTACATGTAATTCTTGTTTATATTGTACATATATTTGAGTTTTGGTGTTTACTTATAATTCTTGTATATATTATACATGTATGTGAGCTTTGGTGTTTACTTATGAATTCTTGTTTATATTGTACAAATATGTGAAATTTGGTGTTTACTTATATATTTTTGGATATATTGTACATATATGTGTTTCTTTGTATTTAGGGAGCAACCATTTAACTTCAAGGGGGGGTATGGTTTTTGGAAAATGACGCTATCAGCGGCATGTTTCCGATACCATTGACCAGAACTAACGGAAGTTGATTATGCCTCCGCCTACCGCACTCGGTTTCATATTTACTATTTTACATACTAACTGGAATCTGCTTGTATTACGCTACACTCGAACAAAGTCTTTGTTAAAGTGTTGTAGTCGGACGGGAACCAGTTTACATACGTTATTTTATTTACCAAAAAGATATCTTGACCTGTCCATATGTTTTTTGTTATTAAATGGTATTTGGAGCTATCCCTTTGTTATATTTTTCATATTTATTCGAGCTTTCACTTTTATGCACATGTCTTACAATCGTAAACAATCGGTATGTATACATGATAAATAGATCCGTTTTGTTATGGTGTTGGACTTTTTACCCTCCAATGATCAGCAATCGCTAGACAAAATAGTTCTCCTAAATAATGTCAGCCTTTCATGCCATTTCAACTTTACAATCATTAAAAAAGTAATAATCAGAATCATTTTGATATCCATTGGATAGAAACTGGTCTTTATCAAGATTTACGAAGATTTTAATAATCGGAAATTAGTAATACGGTTATACCCACGCGGTGCGTATGAATCTTTGTTCACAAAGTTATAGCAGCAGAGTCTGTAACTGTATCATTATTAATTAACTACACTGTGTTTGTACTTAAAATGATGAAAACTGCATATGCAATATAAGATGTCAACTCGGCCAATACAGTTTTTTTTCCGTATTGGCCGAGTTCTGATCCTGCCAAAACAGGATTTCGGAACGTCTCTAGTTTTTAGATCGTAAGTCACGATAAACTCAAACTGAAAGTAAACAGTTGTTTGTACGACGCAGTTTTTATTTACTCACCATAATTTAAACAAGCTGAAACGTTCAGTATGGCATATATTTTAGGTTAAAGACGGTCCCATTCATTTGAAAAGCATTTTGAAAGTAGACGATGGAATTATTTCAGGTTTAGGGAACGAGTAAATTATCACAAAGTTCATTTCTTGACGACCTCATAATTTCATCATGTCGATTTTTACTGTTCACTTTCGCTTCTCATGTTTTGTAAACGGTCTTTTATTTTTAAACCCGAACCAGGCATATGCATTCTGTAATTGCGCAAATCTTCGTTCTTTGGTCAATTGGCTTATGGATAGTTGTATCAATTTCAACTCTTACATTATTTTTTTTAAAAATATATTTGCATTACACATGCAATGGCAGTACCTTTCCAATTACTATTTATGTGTTGTGTCTAAATTAAAGTTGTAACACTTTATAGTGACTGGAAAGGGTAGAAAAATTCATCAGATGAGAAAAGGCTGAAGATGCATGGAAACGGCAGCAAATCATTAGATATTGCATCTTATAAAAAGAAACTGAGATTTGGATAGTTCCACTTCAAGGTAAAAAATTTTATCTCTTGTGAAATGAAATAAAAAAAATATTGTAACACTGTAGTTAATAAATAAAGATACTATTACATGTATTTCTGTATTGGCCTTATTGTTGGTCCTCGGCCAGCAGTATTGGCCTTCGGCTTCGCCTCAGACCAATACACCAAGAAATGGACCAATAACAAGGACAATACAGAAATACTTACGCAATAATATTATAGAATGACAGTATGGTTCAATAGCGGGAATCAGCCTCTCAACTACTTTTTACATAAATATTAACTTCTGGCTTCAACTCCTTGTTCGTCTTGTCTGGAGATCTTGTTGTAGTTCCAGTTAGGCAAGCATTTTAGAGACGTATCCCGTCCATCCTCTCTTGACTTGTTATTCTTGGTGATAGATTTTGCCGCTTGACGTATCTTTTCAAGCTTGTTTTTTTTTTTTTTTACCGTGTAGGGGTCCCATACTATGGCTCCATATTAAATTGTAAGATCCATTCCTAAAGGTCTAGATCATTGTTCTAATCTGACACAAATTTCAATAACTGGAATGCTACCCGAGTTGAATATATGGTGACCTACTAGAACAGCATTATCACTATTGGAATTGTGTTTAATACCATGATTGTTCAATGTCATTAACTTAAATGGAGACAGACATTTGACCTGAAAGGTGGTGTGGGAGTGCAAAATCAAAAACTAACTGACTATGATATATGGTTAAAGAATGAATATCAATTACATGGGTCAACATGGTCAAGGGCAGAGTTGTTATGAAATAACAATATGGCAGAGAAGTGGTTTCAAGTTTCATATAAAGCGACCTGACTGACATGAAATAAAAAATCAAAGGAGTATCCCTATTTGTCTAATCTTCAAGGTGAAATAAAACTAGTAAAACAATATTATACTATTGTCTAAATCTACAGAAATATAATTTGCTTCAAGTAACAGAAATAACTAGGTCACTAGTAACTTATTTAATGAGTATGTGGGGTATAGGAGCTTGATAACAACAGGCTCTTCATAATCATTTGGTTTGAAAAGGATACTAGTAGTCTATATTCTTGATTTAAAAAATTGTAATTGCAAGACAAAAATCACATTACTTAGAATACTTTAGATCATTCAGGTAGTCTTTATTTATATGTACAAAAGAACAGCCAGTAGTCATTGGATATTGTAGATCATTCAAATAGTCTTGACCTATTTATTAGTACAAAAGAACAGCCAGTAGTCATTGGATATTGTAGATCATTGTGGTAGTCTTGACCTATTTATTTATAGAAAAAAACAGCCAGTAGTCATTGGATACTGTAGATCATTCAGGTAGTCTTGACCTATACATTTGTACTAAAAAAACAGCCAGTTGTCATCTTCACATAACACACACACATATACGAATATCAACTATATGCTTATGAGACATGTTGGAATGTTAAACTAATTACGGTATGTGAAAATCAAGACTTGCATAAAAAATATCACAATATTAGAGACAGTGGCGTTATTTTTCCTCAGAGCTTTCAGCTCTTTGATTTGTTTTTTGTTTGAGTCAGAAATTTTTTTCAAAATTTAACACTATAAGGTATGGGGAAAATCTGGAATCAGAAAACTTTCTTTGTCATCTGCTTGACCACAATATTTTTTTTTTTTTCATCAAACTTGGGATCAGAATATTTTTTTAGGAAAAAACCATACCCCCCCCCCCCCCCCCCCTTTGAAGTTAAATGGTCGTTCCCTAACAGATACAGGTCGAGAAATATTTACAAGGCATAATAACAAACTATAAACAAAACTCGATTCGCTAATATAAAAGATCCGAAGATGTGGTATAATTGCCAATGAGACAACTCTCCACCAGAGACCAAATGACATAGAAGTTAACAACTATAGGTCACCGTACGACCTTCAACAATGAACAAAACCCATACCGCATAGTCGGCTATTAAAAGTAAAATAACAAAAATACCGAACACCAAGGAAAATTCAAAAACGGGAAATCCCTTATCAAATGGCAAAATCAAGAACTCAAACACATCAAACGAATGGAAAACAACTGTCACATTCCTTCTTGGTACAGTCATTTTCTTATGTAGAAAATGGTGGATTAAACCTGGTTTTATAGCTAGCTAAACCTCCCACTTGTAATGACAGTCGCATAAATTCCATTATGTTGACAACAATGTGTGAACAAATTCAACAAATATGTTGTCAATATGAAACTCCAGCATATTGATCACTTGTTCCTCGGTGTAGCATGTTTAACCTTTTTGTTCATTATTAACAAAAGACCCCGAAATAACAAATGTAAAACAATTCCAACGAAAAAAATGCTGCCTGATTTATGTAGAAAAACAATGAACAAAATACAAATATGATATACAGCAACAAACTACAACAACTGAATTACAGATTTCTGTAACTTGGGACAGTCACATATAGAATGTGCCGGGTCAATCATGTTAGCGGGTGCCCAACCCTCCTCCTAACCTGTGGCAGTGGTGTAACAGAACAGCTATGAACAAACTATAAAAATCAGTTGAAAAGGGCTCAACTCATCAGATCGATACAAAGCAGAAAAACAACGAACAAAAACGCAGACAGGACGTGACGGGGTATTTATACATCCCCACAGCAAAAAGTACAGATCTGGAGAGTACTCGCAGTTACTGACCGCTAGTGCAAAGCCAGAAACAACTAATAGATAAAATCTTGTATCTAAGACTAAAGTATCAACCAGTACACATCCAACATCCAATTGATTTAGTGTAAAGACGTCATTAAGAGTCTAGAGAAAACAGGACCTTGTGCAATGCCAAATTGCTGGTATCGACAGATTGTAGAACCGTGAATGTGCATATATACATCTGGTGATCCGTTTATTTGGCTATCGCCAATGGCAGTCAGCAGGGTTTAAGAACATCCGTTGTTCGACCTGCTAGTCAAATGCGTTTTGTTAAAATATACTCTTTCACTTTTTTGGTTTTTTGGAAAATGTTGTTTGTGCTGTATTTAGACCCCTCTACCAAGAAATTTGTTTTTCATGCACACGTATAAAAATTGCGGTTTTTATCCAACGCAATCATAGGTTTTCAATTTAGACTTTTTTATGTATAGAGGGAAGAACAAAAAATTTGCGAAAGCAAATTTACAGATCTAACATGTTGGGCTGATGTTTAGACGAGTTGTATATACAGAATGTACACAGCCATGTATCACCATCACTGCTGGTGATCCGATGGATAAATCTGTTGTAGATTGTCACTGGTTCAGACGTACTTATAAATATATATATATATATGTATATAATAGTGTTGTCAAATCGAACAGTTTTGCCTAAGCGGTTACTCTGATAATCTGTCGTCCGATTGACCGGTTAACAGGTAGTTTAGTTAATGTTTAAATGCCTTATCTATAGTACGCTACATATGTACGTTTTTATGATACGATAACTTGATGTTTATCCTTGAGCATTATAAGGCTTGGCGTTGAGCATTCCTAACTTCAGATTGAGATGATGAAAATCTTCTTGATCTCGTCGAATTGACAAAGTCTGAAACCGTTGATTGTTTCATTTTCTCTTATGTCTCAGAAAATAATGTTGAGTGTTTCAATTTGAGATGATTAAGTGTGTTACTCGTACCACCCAGTATACATTAGTTCCATTGTGAGATGATTAAGTGTGTTACTCGTACCACCCAGTATACATTAGTTCCATTGTGAGATGATTAAGTGTGTTACTCGTACCACCCAGTATACATTAGTTCCATTGTGAGATGATTAAGTGTGTTACTCGTACCACCCAGTATACATTAGTTCCATTGTGAGATGATTAAGTGTGTTACTCGTACCACCCAGTATACATTAGTTCCATTGTGAGATGATTAAGTGTGTTACTCGTACCACCCAGTATACATTAGTTCCATTGTGAGATGATTAAGTGTGTTACTCGTACCACCCAGTATACATTA